CCCCAAAACCCCAAAACCCCTAGTAACTAAATTTTGTTTTATTTATGAAATCAAGATTAAAATTAAAAATATATCTCTCAATCTCAAATTATATTGACTTTCATTAATATTCTTGTCAGTTTAATTGAATAGTAAAATCGTCAATACAAAATTGATGAACATTTGAGGACTTAACCTCACTGCTCATTGTATTAATAGCATAAATATTCCCGTTATTGGTAATTACTTGATCAGTAAAACTACCGTCTTATATCTTATCTCGTTCCTCATTGTTTTAGTAAAAATCTTTAATCACAGATTTTTCATGATCAAAGGTAAAGTACAGTATTTTATCTTAGAAGGGCTCCTAAGATTTGAAATAAGAACCAAATATCAGTATATTATTTGCTGAGATTTGCAAAGAAGCTAATGAGTGACCTTTTATTTTTAAGCCGTTTTTGACTGGGTTAATAACTTCCCAAGAGTTGCCTTCTCTCACATCTAATCTTTCAATAGTTGAGATTGTTTTTGGTATGAATGAGTCTTTGACTGATTGATTTAGTCCACCAAAGACATACAGGAATCTAGATCTGAACATGCAAACTGTAGGTAGTTATCTCGGCTTTAAAAGAGACGGCATGATTTTCCAAGCATCTCTTTTTATATCGTAAGATTCAACTTTTGTTAGTTCTGTCTATCTGTTATCTTAACCTCCTACTATATAAATTTCTTTTCTAGTACTAAATGCTCCAAATGATGCTCTCTCTGCTAATAGCTCCCTTCTTTACTAAAAGTAATAGTGACCTACATTTTTCATATACCTATATGCAATAGGAAGTTTAGTAGTTTGTATCTATGGAGCAAATTATTCTTTTAATACATCCAGTATGATTTCAAAAGTGCTTCTAGCAAAACTACATTTATATTTTCCTCCCATTACGAATATTTACCCTTCTGGAGTTACTGTAGTAACACAATCACTAGAAAATATATGAGGTCTTTCCTTATGATACAGTTGAGTATCTGGCTTTATTGGTTTGTAAAGCTTTAGTAATGCATTGGAATCAAGTGGTTTAATGAAATCTAAGACTAGCAATTCATTAGACTAGAATACAGCTTTGGCTAGTATTCTATAATCAATCTGCTCGAACTATGGTATTCCACATATCAGTTTCGTAACATTGTTTTAAAGTTTTCTAATTTACAATGTAGCACCTTGAATTCTTCTAGTGAATTGCTAAGTTACTCTTTTCCCTATATCTATTTGATTTTCATCTTTTTGCTCGTTCATAATAGATTAATGATAGTCCAGAATTGATTCTTTAGGAATGTCCTAGTATACTTATTACTAAGAAATCTTAAGTATTTCGATGTCATCCTAATTTATTACTTATCCATTCTAGTCTTAAAGTAGTCTGCTAAAGACTTTTTCCTTGAATAATGCCTGAATATATCCTTCGTTATTATAGTTTAAATTTAATTAAGGTGTCTCCATAAGGTCTTTCAATTCAATGAAACTTGGCCTTTCTTCTGAATCAAAAGTAATCATTGATGATAATAGCTGCTAATGAAAATGTGTAAGTTTAGTTTAAGATTTAGATAAAGCTAACTGAATTTTTTATTGCTTGCTATTTAAACAAAAAGACAGCAGTTCATCTGAACTGAAGAGTCCTACCATTTGCAGAAATGTCACACCTAAGCTAAATACATCCTCAAGGTAATAATTGATCTTATCAGCTTTTTAAAGTATGCTGGGGGAAGCATAAAGGGGAGTCATAAATTTATTATAGTTCGTGAACATCATATCTTTATTACTCAGTTGTATGTTTCTAGTCTCGCTGACATTCATACTGGTGCCAAAGTCACTAATCTTTACAATGTAGTTATTAATTCCACCCTGTCCATCTTGATTCTTCACTAGAAGGATATTGGATGGTTTGATATCATTATGGGAGATACCACAGAGCTAGCAATATGTGAATACATTAATTATCGTAGACCAGATCTGAATTAATTCATCTGACGTGTATGGCTGTTTCTTGGCTCTTCTTCTTTGTATATCATCGAGCAGAGTGCAATCTGCTTTTTCCATAATGATGAAGTAGTCAGCATCTTATCCATCAAAAGCTCTGTCGTCATCCTCGTCTTCTAGGTATTTATCTTCATCAATGACTACATTATCACGAATATCTTCCTTAACTTCATCTTAATCCTGGGAACCCTCTCCGTCCTATAGCGATTTCTACTCTTCTAAACTATTGTCAATCTAATCAACAGCTCTATCAAGAGCATTAATCTAAGAGCCAGTGTCTCTTAATCTGCTATTTTAATCTTCATCTTCGACATAGATAGTACCTATTTAATATACTTGCAGAATATTCTCATGATCCAGCAGATGCATGTTATTGAATTCAGATTCAGCTTGCTTGAAGTACTTCGCTTGATAGATCTTTATCACTAAATCTCTCTTCATATTTTCAGAGTAAAATGACAATATCTTGGACTAGCCACCCTAAGCTAGAAATTGAATGTTTGCTGGCTTGTACTCATGTAGAGGATGGTTTACATACTTCTCCAAGTTTTTATTGAATTCCTTCAAGTAAAGCTTTTTCTATATCTTAAAATCCATTCCTTAATAATATTATAAAATAAAAATGCTTTTCAAAACGTTAACACTATGACGGGGTTTTGGGGTTTTGGGGGAATAAAACTCAAACTGAGTCGCTGAAT